TTTTTCAAAATGTTTTCTAAAAGTCTAATCAGTAGATGGTTTGAAGAGGCATCTGCTTGAAATCTCTAACTTGAGCTCTTTATCAGCTTGCCCAAGCTGATGATCTGTTCTTCCACAGTGCTAGGGGTTACAGTTTTGTCTCTCCTCTAGTCCCCATCCCAGACACCCCAACAATAGTCCCAGAGCATGTGGTCCATTGGAGGTGATGTTCAAAGCTGTTGCTGAGGTGCATGTTTATTAAAGTGCATGTGATGGGAGTCTTCTATAGGAGGTGATGGTTGTACTGTAGCAAAGAAGCAGAGGTACCTGAAAGTAAGTGCAAAGTGTATAGCAATGGGGAAGAAACAAGGAGATGTAGCCAGTAAAGCATGGAATGTAACAACTGTATAAGGAAAAAAAGGGGGTAGGATCCTCCATTTTTTGTCTTAAATGGTTAATCACTTTTCCTTCTGAGCTAAAGGTTATTATTTTTTTAAATTTTCATTGCAAGATACTACAGAACATTTTTAACAGTCACTAAATGTCACATTTACGGAAATGTGATAAAAACACGTATACACAATATTTTATTGTAATTGTAGCCATAATATGAACTAAATCCACTGTGATATAATTCTGATGGAGCCAAAACAAAAATTTCCTGATTACGAAATGCAGGAATAAATATGAGTAATGCAAACTATCTTGTTTGTGACTCTGCATTCTTGATAGTGAATGGTATGTAATTTGTGATAGTGTCCCACTATAGAATGATACTCACATTTAAAAGACAAACAGTCCAAAAACTTTTTGGTCCTCTTCTAAAATTATCTTTTCTTTTTATCTGTATTCTAAACAAAATACAGGACCTCAATCAAAGTATACAGAACACTGTGTGAATCTTTCAGTGGATATCATGGGTTTATCAGACCCTTAGTCCTACAAAACAACAAACTATTACTTCTGACACATAACTTTGGAAGTTTCACCATAAGTGGAGAAGTTGCAGGAATCCACAGGTGAAACTGTGCTGTTTGCAGAATGTCAGATTGAATGCTAATTTTCCAATTATGAAAAAGACTTACAAGATTATGCTTAATGCATAAGTCTACTGGTTTTTATATTTAAGTTTTTTAAAAGTTTGAAAAAATCAGAATCTGTTTTTCATTTAACTTTATACTCTAATTCAGCTGCTTATCAGAAGGGTTTTTAGACGGAAAGCCCTCTCTAATGCCTGGCCCCTCCCAAATGATCTTGGAGAATCTTTTAGAATTCTCTTTAGAATATTAATATTGTTTAAAACATACAAACAAACAAACAAACAAACAACTGGAATCACACATTATACATTATTTACACATGTGGAAGGCAGCAGTGAGTAACTTTGGGGCAATTCTTGTCATTGAGCCTGTAGAAAATTAATTTGACTGTAGAGCCAAAGATCATGAGAAGAGATGGAATGGAAATCAATGCCACCTCCATTCATTGCTCTGTGGTTTTCATAGTAGCAGTCAAATCCTCTTGTGTCCAAAAAGTGCCTGGAGCAAGGGAATTTCCATTTCTTATACACAGTTACACACATTCTAACTCGATGATCTTTGTGGTTCTTTTCAACCCAGGCTTTTCTATGATGATTCTATGATTCTTATGCTATGCAGGTAATTTAAAACATCTAAATGCATTAAATCGATTAAGAAGCACTTGGGCTGCATGTAAACCTGTCCACATATCTATTTCATCTTTATTTCTCTGCATACCTCTTCAGTTTTCTCCACAAAAGGCTTTCCTGGCAAATCTCTGTTGGACTGGCAATCTAGACCTTCTACCTCTGTTTAGATTACTTTATAACTGCTTGTTCTTACTTTCTGTCTTCTGAGAGTGATAGAAGAGCACCTCTTTGAACAAGTGCTACTTTTGTCTTGTCATTGTAATGCGTGAACTATTGGTAAGAGCATTTAGGAACGGAATTCCTTTCCCTTGTCCTCACTCCACCTCTTACTAACAGGCTCCAATGTGTATGTCATTCCCTGCAGATGAAATGGGCACAAACATAAATATAGACAGCATCTTTCAGCTACATCTAGACAGCTTAAAGCAATTGCAAGTGTTTGTGTGTCTGCCCTGAGCATCTGCAAACCACTTTGGTAGATAAAGCTTTTCCCTCCCTATTCACATTTAATGATTGTATGTAAGTTTTCATCCTAGAATCTTGCTTATTCTTAGAGGACAAGATTACATGGTATGTGAGCTTATATTGTTTGTTAGATTATTGCTCATCTCTAAGGCTTAAGAGAATTTACTATAGCTGTTACTACTCAGTGTTGGCAACTTGAATAACCAAAACTTCAGAAAGGAGAAGAAATTTTAATAAAAAATACTTCAACTGGATTACTTATTATTTTCTTAAAAGCTGGTCGTTTTGTTCATGGGAAAAACAAAACAAGACAATAATACTTAGTATTTGGTGAAAGGGTCTTCTCAAAATTTATTATTTGAACATCACACCATAGCCAAGGTTCTTTTATGTGGATCTTTGTGGCATGTGAGATCTTGAAAAAGCTAACAAAGTAGAAGTAATGTCTGAGAGAGATCTTTGCATATGTAAGAATTTGTATATGTCTTCTAGGTGAATTTGGAACAGATGTTGTTCATTAATTTATTACCTACTGTGATTTAGCATGAGCTAGTAATTTGAGGGACTCCCAGGTGTGCACTGCTACAAAAAGCAGTGCACTGGTCAGAACTTGTTAGTCATGGTATCCTCCTACAAATTATAACCTATCCTGTCCCATCCTGCTTTTTTTTCTTTTTATTTTTTTCTTAAATATGTGTAGTTCTTTGCAAAAGGATACATGCTTTGTGCACACAATTCTAACAGCTGTATGCGAAATTGTAATGATGCTTATGCCATGTTAGTCTATATACTAGGGTATTTATACATATTCTTTTATAAAATGTGTACACAGTCATCTTTCTTGTCTGTACATATTTTCATTTGTAATTCTCTGGTTGTGTATTTCTGTATTTCACATTATAGTGAATTTACCAAGAACCAGAAATTCTGAAAGCTCTCTAGCAGATTTAACTTGCCATTCCCTTTTTTATTAATTGACTTCTTGTGTATTTTTTTTAGTTTAGGATTTTGAAAACAAAGTACATTTTTGTGCTAATAAGAGCTTCTAATTTTTATGAAAATACAATTCCTTCATACCACAGGCTTCACTGGGAAAATACCCCAATAACTGGCAGAACTGGGTATAAGACAACATTTTTCATTGTAGTGGGAACCCTGAACTTAATGCTGTGCAACCTGAATGGATCTTAATTTTTCCCACATTCTTTAGCAATTAGGTCATAGCCTCTGATTTAGTGTACTTAATACTTATTCTTTGTGAAATGCCATTACTCTTCAGCTTGAGATTTATCAAAATGAAGATTCAGTGGTACTTCTACGTTTAGCAGTAAGCACAGGGTGAGCAACTAGAACATTAATTCTCCATTGAGTTGCAGTGATCTTTCCAAAACCTGAGTTGCAGACAGTTCGCATGCATTGAAAAAAAACAAAACAAGGCAAAGATTCACCAGCCTTTCACAATGTTATGCATCAGTTCAACATGTTTTAATACGTTCTTCTCCAGAATTATCGTCTGATTATCTCTGAGGGCTCAGTTGTCCCAGAGATTAAATGATGTTCATATGCAGGAGAATTACTTCAAACTAATGAAATACTTTTAGTTTCTCATTTCTTTTATTAATGAGGAAGATACACTTGTAAATTTTGCTCTATCATGTACTTAGTTTGCTAAAAGACCTAAATGTATTCTCTGGATAGTAACCATCACTGATGGTGCTGCAAGGAATCCGGTATGTTGGTTCAGGTAGCTGTAGACAGAGGTTCATTTGTAATTCAAGTTTATACCAGCAAAGTGTAATTTCACTTTGGACAAAATGGCTTTGAACACGGCCTCGGAAGCAGAATATGTTCGTGGACTAACATTTGGAACAAAGTTTCTGACTTCAAATCAGTAGGCTAAATGTTGCATCAGTCAAAGCCTGAAAATCGTTGTTTATTCTCAGTCTGTAGTCTGTATGTATGGATGGATATGAGTATGTTCAGTGAGGATAGCATTTATTATCTAGCCTACAGGGTTTTAAGTAATATTTGTTCTGAGAAGGTGCATTTATAAAGTGCCAGTGGACTTTATGATCATAAGTCTTAGGGTAATTCATGAGGGCTTCTATAGATAAAACAGTGTCTACATAGAACTTCTTTCTTCCTTTTTATCTGCTTGGCTACCTAGACAGAAGACAAGAGGTCTGTAGTCTGTAAGATTGTGCAAATCTTTTGAAGTGAGTATTAAACAGAAAAAAAAAAACTGGGTTTTACTCGTATTACTGTCTGAATGATGACTGATTTTTGAATCTGGTATATTTTCATGTTATTTATTAAATAATTTAGAATGGCAAATTGCAGCGACTTTGTAAAGTGAGACTATTTGCTAACCAAGGATCCGAATGTAAAGAATAGAGCACATGGTGTGGTTTTCGTGGTGTTACTAGTAATATGAGTTACTCTGTACTGAAGATAAATGGAGCTATAAAGGTATGTTCTTTATGTCCTATTTTAACTTACATTTGACTTTGTTTAGCTTTCTCTAAGATCAGTTTTAGCGAAGGTTAGCTAAAATCACTAATCAGCACAAGCATTTGTTGCAGGTTGGAACCAGAGTCTTGTGGTCTAAAAATAGTTCTCGTCTCTCCTATATAACACAGGAAAGGTTACTCTGGTGTGGACAGCATCACATAAGCAGTGAACTCAATATTCAGAGGGTCTGAGTAGAAAGTAAAATACTGTGCCAGCATTTAACATAGTGTGAGTGGAAGAATATACTGAATTTGCTGTTTGAATTTGCTGTTGTTCTTTTCTTGCTCCAGAGGATTGTTCATACTTCATGTGTCTGCAATAATGCACAACCATGACTGTTACTTAGGGATTATGAAAAGCTCTTTTTTTTTTGCAGATCATCCGGTGAATGAGTTTTTGGATCTGTTCAGTCGCCACATTCTTCCTCATGCAATAGATGAGCCCCATACTGATGCAGAATCATCTCAGACTGAACCCTGTACTTCAGAATCTGTGCAGGATTCATCTGAATATATAATATTGGATCCTTTCTTTCCAAACTTTATGGACTTTGAAGAGGAGGAAGAAGACTGTGAAAATACTACTGATGTTACAACTCCTCCAGCTTTGCAATTCATCAATGGAAAGCAACAAGTGACAAGTGCACCTAAAAGCACAAAAGCTGAGGAAGCAAGAAGTGATCAAATTGAAAGTGTTGCACATTCAAAAAATGTAACCTTTTCACAAGTCAATGAAACAAACACCTATGTAATATCTGAAAGTGAAGCTTCTGGTACAATGCAGCCAAGCAAAGCTGGAGAAGTAATGGGGGCATTTGAAGTCACACAACCGACAGCAGATGTTGCAATGTTAGAACCAGTATATAGTGGTGAGTCAGAAGTTACCACAACAGACAAATATTTAGAGATTACTTCTATGAATGAGCAGTCACCACAAAAAAATAAGGAGACTGTAATGTGGCATGGATCTGAGGAGAGTTCTACCAAAGACACAAAAAACTTGCTTTTGATTGCTAGTGAATCTTCTGGTGACGGCTCCACTGAATCTGATTTGTCTAAGTTTGTGTTCACAGAAGTTGTGACAATGTCAAGTCATGAAGATAATGAAAAAATTTCTGGTACAACTTCTGTTCCTAGTGTCATTTCTGTGGAAAGTTCCGCAGTAACTGCTGCTCCAAGTGCAGGTTTTGATACTGCTACTGTAGGCATAGCTGTGAAAGACTTTATTCCAAAAGATGGGACCACCACTCCTGGAAATTACTATAAATCAACTATTAAACTTGATGCAGAGTACCCTTTTGAAAGCAACCTGGAAGCAACAACTCATGCAACAAAGCCTGAGATGAGTGCTTCTTCTTTTATAGTTCTAGAAGGTTCTGGAGATGTAGAAGAGAACAGCACTTCAGCTTCAGCCACAACAGAAACAGCAGTTGCAGAAACACTTTCAGTGCAAGAGATTTCTTTGGGTTCTGGCACAGTACTGCCAACAGAAATTTCTGTAACCATTTCAGAAATCACCTCTGCTTTGCCTGGAGGAGGAAGAAATCTTTATTCTACTTTTGATCAAAGTTCTGAAGAAACTGTTTCCACCAATTTTGTATCTGATTTAATTATGGAGCAAGTAGTTGGCAGCTCTGTTGCAACTGAAAAAAAAGTTGAAGATGAAAAAGAATTACAGACTACTGTTTATTCAAGTCAGGAAATTTCAGCCACTGCTGCAAAGGGAAAATCTGAACTGGATGAGCTTGGAAGCACTACTAATGAAGTCAGAACTGTAAGTCAGGAACAGATCCCTCTCAGGAAAACAGTACCAGTAACAGGTACCATGCATTCTGAAATCAAAAAGGTTACCACCACTCCTTTCTTGAGAGAGAAGAAACTTTTTATAAATGAAGGATCAGCTGAAGAACCAGCAGACTTATTTTCAGGGAGTCCCACAAGAAAAGTGGTAAGTACTGACTCCCCTTTTACTGATTCAGGTTCTGGAGACATAGATGTTATCACTGAGTCTGCTGCTTTGACTTCAGTTCCATCAAGGTCTATCATGGAAACAGTAAAACATGAAGGAAATATTTATGTCATCAATGTTTCACTGAGGAATGCCACAACAGAATATGAAGAGCACATAGGAAGAAGTGAACCAGCAACATCAGTTTCAAGTACTGGTTCAGATGGCTTAACAAAGGAATCTGAAGTAGCAATTCAGATATCTGAGAATGTCTTTACTACAGAAAACCAAGGAGAACAAACACAAGAAGCAGAACCAACTTACACAGCTCCTTCTGACATCAAATCAAGACTTGGTTCTAGAAGAGAGGTAACATCTCATGTTGCACCAGTAATTAGTACAAAGGATTTACAAACAGCTGAAGTCACGTCATCTCCAGAATCAGTTGTTAATAACAGCACTCTTGACACCATGGTGACATATGATAGCATAAAAGCAGTAACTGAGTCTACAGAAAGCAAAAAGGGAAAAGGTGGCTTTTCAACTGTTTCTTTGGGTAAAATTCTAATGATTGAGCATGGCTCTGGAGAAGAACTCAAAGCTGACAGCAGCACCACAAAACTAATGTCTAATGGACCTACAGAAAAAGTGCTTGAAAGCCATTTTTCACTTTTCACTGATCAGGGCTCTGGAGAAGCAGAAACTTTAACTGAATCATTTACAAAAACATCAATTTCACCCACTGGGAAATCAGAACCACAAGAGCAGTATGACAGAAAAGCTGTCAGCATGCCATCTACTGTGGTTCATGCCTTCACTGCTGAACCTAATGAGCTAGTCACAAGTACTGAACATGACATCACCATTTTGCGAACTGTAACGGATACAAAAATGGAAGAGAAAACAGCTAATGATCTGACAGAGACATCTTTTGCCACAAATCTTCCTGTGTCAGAAGATGTGCACTCATGGGAAGACAGGCTAAGGGAAACTTCAACAAAAGCAATAGAATCTTCTGGAGAAGCAATGGAGGATCCATTCTTCAGAAGTACACAGGCTAACCATGAACATGTGGAATTTTTAAATGCTCCTACTATCAGACCATATTCAGAAGAAAATAAAGTAGAAGCTGAATCTGGTGAAAAAATTTTGTTGCCATTTAATAATGACAGAGTTACTGAGTCTGCAATAATTGAAAGGAAATACTTCAGTTCTCCTGTTACAGGTACAGAGCAAGAAGAGAAGTTGGTACAAAATATTTTTCCTACTGAAGATATTCCCAGATTAGTCCTGACACCTGAAGAAGAAAAACCGACAAACAATGAGGTCATCAGTGATCCATTATTTTCAGGACAAGGATCAGGAGATGAGTTTACTGTTATTCCTTCAGTAGAGTCATTGGTTGTCAAAGAAACCACAAATATTTTAAGTGCTCAGTCTTTTCATCCTGCAAGTGTAGGACCCAAACTTTCCACTGATCAGACACAAGTCTTTGAAAGTGGAAGCACTCAATCAAATGCTGAAATTAATGGAGAAATTAGAACTACTGCAGCAGAGCTGCTGACAGAAACTGCATACTCAATGGCCACCAGTTCCCCAGCTTTAGGAGAAGAGAGTTCCAATCACTCCAACTCTAAAGACAAAGAGATAACACATTATTTTGTTGTGATTGAAGAACCTTTCAATAAGGAAATGGACCACAAGAGGGGAGAAAATGATACAAACAGTCCAATAGCTACTCCTGGAGATGTTTCTCATGAGGAATCTTCACATATGCTGGCTACAGATGACATAACTCCTGTTTCTGTAATACTGAGTGAAACTCCTTATCTTGAAACCGGAAAATCTCTTGCAACCTCAGCAACAAAAATGCCAAGCAGAGTATTTCCTGAAAGTTCTGGAGAGGGATCTGGTTGGGATGGTGTTTCAGATTCATTTCCCCCTGATACATTTACTCATGTGACAGTACCTCCTGTGACAGAAGTCGAAGTAACTGCTTCATCTCAGGTTCCTAGCGAGGTTTATCCTAAAGTTATGACAACAGATGCACCAGGAGATGGATCACAGACTGTGATCACAGAATTAGCTTCTCTTTTTACAGAAGAAAAAGAGATTGTGACAAATCAAACTGCTGCTGATCCAAAGACAGCTACATCAGAAGAGCTGACAAGTGATACTGGGATGTCACTGGATATTATTCCAGTGGTTGATGATAGAAGACAAGTTACACTGAATTTTTCTGTTTATGGTGATATTACACTAATTGAAGAACGACTTCAAATCCCATCAGAAAAAACAACTATTATAGACATGGATCACTCCAAGTCAATGCCTGAAGATATAATAAGTGTGCAGACAATGCCAAATCTTGCTGTACAGTCAACGTATGGCAGTGATGATAGCATGAAAGCTGAAGAGGACAAGTATGATTCAACACTTAATTTTTCTATAATCAAAGAGAATACATCTACATCTGGTGATAATCTTTCTTTGATTCCTTCCATTCAGCCAAGTAGTGAATCAGTAACAACTGGACATGGACCAAAATTAGTAGACAAGGATTTAGGTTCAGGGTATGCCATGGAGTTTGCAACAGAAGCTCTCACAACTACCATACTCAATGAATTGGGAATTTTCCTTCCAACAGTACCCGCTCTGGTAAGTCCCCATATGCCTCATGACTCTGAAGAATCTGAGTTCGAGGCTAAACATGTTGGAAGGACAAGCACAGCAGATGATGTGCATGAGCCTTATACTTCAGCAAACAACCAAATAATAACAGATCAAAGCGAAACAATGTCTGTTATTGGATTTTCTGGAATGGGCCAAGAAGAATCAGGTGATAAAAAGCCTGTGGTTCCTTCCCTCACATCAGATTTAACTGTAGAGACAGAAAAGGCTTTGACAACTGACACATTTGATGTAAGTATGGCCACCACGCAGAGTACGTCCCAACATGCAACTCTGTCATCTAGCAGTACTGAAGAAAAGCATTCTACAGTATATGTACAAACAAAATCAATGTCAGCAGCAGAGTATGAAGAAACAGACTCAGTGAGTTTAAGTTCTGTATCTCAAAATCCTAAATCCTCACCAACTGTTCGGTTAGTTAACGGAGTATCTGAATATCCTGAGGTAGTCATTCCAAGTACATCATCTGCAAAGGATTCAGATCACTCTGATCACTCATCAGATGGAACTTTCAAAGAGGTTAGTTCTGATATTGCAGCAACTTATAAACCACCCACGACAGACCTAGATACAACAGAGTCTTCTCTGCAAGAGTTTTCTCCTGAGCCTGAATCAGAAACCATAACTACTGAGAGTACTCCTCATTTTAATAAACTTGTAACACAGAAGTCAGAAGAGACAGAATCTTCTGTGAATGATCTGATTATTGAGGAAAATGCTACTATTTCTGGAGATTCTCCATCAATACCTGACTACCCTACTGCTTTTCTGAATTTTGGAGAAAGAACAAGCACAGATGTTCCAAAACTTAGCACAATAGAAGTTGAATTTTCTTCAGAGAGAGTGAAAAATCCCAGTCAAGAAAGTGATAGGAGTACTGAGAGAGAGAGACCAACGCTTTCATCCACACCTGCTTCAGATTCACCCAACAGTATAGAAGTTGGAGTATTTAAACCTGACCAGGAAACAGTTACAATGCTAACTTCATCTTTAGAGCCTTTGGATAGAAGCTTGGAAACACAGTCAGCTTTGCTTGGTCGACAGGAGACTACAACAATTTCTTCTAACATTGCAACAAACAATGCAGCCCCTGGAAATAATCCTTATTCAAATGAACAGTCAACAATAAGCTCTGAGGAGCTAAATACTATTGAACTTGTAACTTCATCATTTTCCCTTCCGGAAGTCACTAATGGATCAGATTTCCTGATTGGCACAAGTATGGGTTCGGTTGAAGGCACAGCAGTGCAAATTCCAGGTAACTTCCACATATGATCACTGTTATATATTCTTGTTGTGATATTTGTAAATGAGTATCTTAACTCTGATAAGAGGTATGGCAATGAAATACAACAGAACTCATGAGCCTCAAGCCTTGAAATCAGCATGATGGTAAACTCTACTGTGACAAAGTGAAGGAGGATGGGAGACCAAAACTAAAGCTCAGTGACATTTCCTGAGTGTTTGCATCGTGAAGCCCTGGATCAGACTTGAGCTGCCCAGCAAGTTCTAAAAGTCAGGATGATAACACTGATTGTGGTAGAGAATTCAGCTGTGATTATTCATTTTTCCAGTTTTCTATGAAGATATATATAGTTATTTTATCTGGTAGCTGTTCTGTGTTTTCATGATGATAGCACTTGTACAGCTGGTTTACAGGTAGAATTTTCTAATAATACTTTTCAGAGCAGATCTAGGTGCATTTTAAGTACTGAAATTTTCTATTAAAAATATATTTTCTTAATCTACAAGGTAATTTTCCAAGAAAAAACCTGAGACTTCATGAATTCATTTTATCCGTAGCTTACCTGGTTAATAAAGCGTCTATCTTTCATAAATTATAAATATTCTTGTTAGATATAATTTGCTACAATATTCTGGTTTACAGTAATGGTTATTAGGTACCATTTAATCAAATACAGAGATGGTGCAGGTAGGATCTTTATGAGAAGTGTAAATAACTTCAATTTATTTTATCTAGATATAGCTGAAGAAAGAAAAAGGCAAGTTTAGAATTATAGCTTTCTTTTGTATATCTTCAGATAATCCAGATAGCTATGAATTTGAACATGTTTACTAGAAAATTATCTGTAGATGAACACATGCACAGTAAAAATAGGTGCTTAACATAGGTCTGCTTTTTGGATTTATACATAAGCAGTCCCAAAAGAACTCTATTTTAAAATTTTGAAATTTTGAAAAACTCTAGAGCAAGAGTCTGCCCACTTACTTACATGCCCGAACTTATGAAGGCAGGATTTTCTCCTGGAGGCTTTAAACAGAACTTAGTTACCTCCATTGAGTAGACAGGGAATTTGGTACCTTAAGAATACCGCTTCTGTAAAAGTTTTACTTGAAAGGGTAAAACAGATGTTATCTTTTATTTTGTAAAGAGTAGCCAAACCACTTTGGGAAAATGTAACCAAAATATAAAGTTTTCTCATGTCTTTGAATCAACTTAGATTACAAAACTCTTACCCATTTTGTAAGTTAGGTCTTTATTCTTGTATCCCAAAAGGGTTGTCTTAATGATTTTCCTCTAACTCTGAGAAGTGGATATGAATGGTTGTCTAGTGAATTTTTGTGTGAATGATTGCTCCTAGGCATTAAATCAATTGCAAATACCTAGGTATTTAAATTCAATTGAAATACACATCACTAGAAGTCATCTCCGCAAGAAAAATCTATTTAAATGATAACTCCCGTAAAACCTGAGGATTTCACAGCAGGTAAGCTTTTATCTTAATGTTTAGTTCAGCTACAAATGTACTCAGTACCTTTATTTGTATTCTTGAAGTGTGATTTAGGGAAAGGTGAGAAATGTGCATGAATGAAAACATATATTCAAAGAAATAAGAATCTGTGTGCACTGATTTTTTGAATATAATGAAATGAAACATCAACAGGCAGCCAGTATATTCAAGAGATATATGTTCTGTGTACCCAGTCATTCTACATAAACTAACCCTGTTCAAAAAAAGCAAAAGCATTTTCCATTCATTTTGCTTATGTTTAACTATTTTCAGCTATAATTAATTGTCGTGTCATGCTGACTAAATCCTCAGTAGAGCATTGTGACTGCCAAATGTAGTACAGATTCTGAAAATTATGCTGGTTCATAGTAAATGCCATGTAATTTTTAAAGTTGTAAATAGTGATGCCTGAAAATACTATTATACAAAAGTATCTTAATATTCTATCTTGTTATTGTAGTTTCTGTAACAATAGTAGGTCTTGCAATATCAATACAAAAATGAAGAAAGATTTATTTTTCCAAAAATTCGAAAAGATATCAGCTCTTTGAGACCACAGAGTAAATTTTATTTTTCTACTTAACAGGACAAGATCCATGCAAAAGTAATCCCTGCCTTAATGGTGGTACCTGCTATCCACGTGGTTCATTTTACATCTGTACATGTTTGCCAGGTTTCAGTGGTGAGCAGTGTGAATTAGGTAAGTTGATGCCATCAAGATACTGAATTGTCTACAGATTAATTTAAGTATAAAGTTTTCATACATGAGATTTGCAAAAGTAGGGGTTTGGTTTTTTTTTAAGTTGAAGAAAACATGGACATGTGAAAATATTCTGCAGCCTTACTTAAGAAGAGAACACAAATAGTTCCTCTGTCCCCTTTTCTCTCTGCCTGTAGAGTGCACAAACATGTGCACACACAAGTGTAAGTGAATTATAACTGAATCACCAAGAAGGATAAACATTAAGTTCCTAAATACATCAAGTAAAGTCAGTTTATTCAGGATAATTCCTTAAAAGCATTGTGTAATTATATTTAAGGGTGGTAAAATATCCTTGATCCAAATGTAACCACTGAATATTTTCAAGGAAATTTTCAATGGTTTACGGGCTGGTTCGGCCCGGTTCCGTGACTAGCAGGGCGGAGGGATCCGCAGATCCGCTCCTCCAGAAAAAGGGAACAGGGGACCCCAAAATAATTAGAAACAGCAGCAACGATCTGAGGAAAAACAAACTAATTTACTAATTATAGTGTCAGAATGCAAGATAACACACTATAATACAATATAATTAAAATTGAAGCTAATAAATCAAGTATAATGAGAGAGAGAATGTCCAAAAGGGGGATAGGCCTCACCACAACACTGAGGTGAGATGCGCAGTCCAGTTGAGCAGCAGGGAGAAAAGGGCAGAGAGCCGACAAAAAGCAGGTGAAGAAGAGCACATGAGGTGACCTTGCCAGGAGTTGTATCTCGAGACTCTGTGTCCGCAAAGTCCCCTGGGGAATGTAGTTCTTTTTCTCTTCCAGGCAGGTACCCAGAATTTGAGCATTAACAGTTTAACTCCCAGTGCCCCACGTGATGATATGATGTAGAATACCGAAAACCAAAAATCACAAAACCATGACAGAAATTTTAAGTACGACCATAATCAGATGCATTTCTGGTAAAGCTTAGTGTTATAGTAACTCTTTTAGCAGAGGACCTCTTCAAGCTGCTTGTGACACCTGGATTTCTGTGCTATGAACGTGGGTTGAGAAACTCACCCATACAGTTCAGGATAAACAGTTTTTCCTTTCAAACCAACAAGCCAAATTATGATGAAACTAACAGTTTGGCTATTTCGTATACAACTTTTGCACGAGTTTTATCTTTGGAAAAGTTTTTAATTTAATTCCCTGATCAATACCAATGAATATGGAAGAAAAAACCCTTGTGCAATATTGCTAAAATGAATTCCACTTACAATATACTGGGGAGAAAAAAAACCAAAGATTGATATCATTGCAGAACAATTGTCATGACTACTATGGTTTCATTTGTTTTCTGCAGGAAGATAGATGATTAAAAAAAACCTTAGCCAGTGTTTTTCCTAGCTTACATTGATGAAATTCATAGTTCATGGGTTGTTGCTGCTAGAAGTCACATTTTAGATACTGCATCTTAGGTCTTTCTCTTTGTCAAAGAATCCCCTGGTTACCAGCCAGAGATCAGAGATTATATATTTTTTTCCGTTCATTTGAGATTTCTGAAGATATTTGAGGTCTCCAGTATTTGAGGAGAATTTTTTCTGTGATGGTCACAAATCCAAGCAAAATTCTCTACTGATAATGGTCCTGCTGAGCAAGATAACTTCTCTCTCAGCTACACAGTGCAGCGCTGAATATTTAGAAATTAAAGCAGGAGTGCAGGACTCTGTGGATCAATAAAGTCACATTTCCTGAGGAAACTTCTTGCTTTCTGGATGAAGAGAAAGAAAATGTATATGAAATCAGCTATCATGCAAATAAAACGACTCTCTTGGATCTTTCACAATACTTCATTTTTCTGGTGTGAACTTGTCCTAGTAATAATTATGAATAAGGCTGAAGAACATTTCCCTCCTGATAGCTGAGTGAATTATAAAAACATTTTTATCTGTATGTTGTAGATATTGATGAATGCCAGTCTAACCCATGCCGCAATGGAGCCACATGTATAGATGGCCTCAATAGCTTTACTTGCCTGTGTCTACCAAGCTATGTCGGTGCTCTCTGTGAACAAGGTAGGATATACTTTTAAATCTAGAATGACTTAAGTTATGTATATGTGGCTGTGAAAGAGAAAAAATACTGTCATCTTTTCCATGAGAACTTAAGTGAGTTGAAGAGCCGGAAGCCATGCTTATGTACGTTTCTTCTTAATCATAACATTGGAAAAGACCTTAAAGATTGTCAAGTCCAACCATGACCTAACCATACTACCCTAACCCTAACAACCCACCACTAAATCATGGCCCGGAGCACCACATCCAAATGGTTTTTAAACACATCCATGGATGGTGACTCAGCCACCTCCCTGGAGAGTTGCTTAACAACCCTTTCTGTAAAAAAGCGTTTCCCCATATCTAACCTAAACTTACCCTGTTGCATCTTGAGGCCATTTCCCCTCATCACCAGTGAGAAGAGATTGGTCCCTCTCTCGCTGAAAGCACCTTTCAGATACTGGTGCAAAGAGAGCAGTAAGGTCTTCCCTTAGCCTCTTCTTCCACAGACTGAACAGCCACAGTTCCTTCAGTTTCTCCTCATAGGACATATTTTCCAAGCCCTTCACAAGCCTTGTTGCCCTTCTTCGGACCTACTCCAGCATCTTATTGTCCCTTCTGTACTGAGGTGCCCAAAACTGAACACGGTGCTTGAGGTGAGGCCTCATCAGTGCCGAGTACAGGGGCAGGATTACTTCCCTTGTCCTGCTCACCACACCATTCATGACACAAGCCAGGATGCCATTGGCATTCTCGGCCACCTGGGCACACTGCTGACTCATATTCAGCCAACTATCCATTCTTGTTAAACTCAGAAGTTTATCCTTTCATTCTTTTTCCTCTCCTCTCACATTGTTATGTTACATAGCTATCTTCATTATGAAGAGTAGTATGTCTTTGTTTTGCTTTGTTTTGTTGTTGTTGTTATTTTTGTTATTGTTATTTTCCAAACAGTGGAGAAACCTAAAACTTCTTTTAGAAAGATGAGTCATACCGGCAGATAGCTAAGACACTTCCAGCTTTATACATCTATCTGTTTCCATTTAAATACTCTTTCTGGAATAGCTAGATTAAGCTAGCTTCTTCTGGAAGATAAAGGATTGAAGAAACTATTAAGATTTATGGGAAATCGTAACAATGAGATGGGGTTACATTTTTTTAGTCTGAACAAAATGTGAGTATGTTAGACTTCCATTTGTAGAGCTCCTGATTTGTAGAGCTGAAGGCTCTTTGTTTAGCATTACATCTACACCATCTTTCTCAGATAGATGGGAGCAAACACTATCCACATGCTTGACCAATCAAATTTCATACTATTGCTGTACTGAATGTTAACTGAAACTGGGATATCCAAAGCAAGCACCCCCTGTTCAGATTGGCTTGCAGACACAAAATCAGGTTATTTCACCACTGTTGGGATGCCTTTGGGATAATGAGCTGAACAAAATTTTACTGTCTTCTGAACTTTTGTTTTAAAAGAATGAGTGTGTGAAGATATATCACAACACATCACTTCGAACAGCTGTCACTGGAAAGTAGGAAATATCCCACTCAGTAGACTAGATTATATATCAATCCTCTGGGGACCATAACCTTGACATCTTCCCAGACCTTTCTAGATTGATTCATTTGGTATTATTTTAGGACAAGAATGTTGCAGGACCACAATTACAAGTAAGTTTTAAAATTTTCTGAATGGGACAATTGAAATGAGATCAAACATCTGATTTCCTGTAACTGTTAGAACATTGCCTGCAAGAAATGCTGCTGTATTTAAGAGAAATACCCATGCTGCAAGATATTTACTTAGTGTGTAGACATAGGAGTGCAATAGGGGTAGCAAAATCTGTTCTGTCAGTAAAATTAATGAAGACATCTCTATAGGAAAAAGAAAAGGGACCTTAAAATGTACTTTTTGAAGCTTATAAGAATATCTTTTTCTTCAGCTGAGTAATTTCATTCACAGGTAAATGAACTGGATCTTTGGATTTGTGTAATTAATGCTATGTCTGAACCCTTCGACGCGCTGCCTATTTTCAGGCTTGTTTCTCATCTTCAGTGAGTGGAAGGCAGTTTGAAAACTCTTCCAGTTCAACCTATAGAGATGTTTCTTAGAGTTTAAACCTCTTAAAGCTGACTGGCTCCAGGACTTTTCACTGTTCAGTTTTTTCAGTAGTCTGCCTAACCTTGTGAAAGGAGTTCTGAATTTGCTCTTAAAACTTGCAAGTTGTCAGTATTCTCACAACAAAAGAGAAGTGTTTTTGCTCCTCTCCTCCTACCTTTAATTTCAGCAAATGCTCCGAGTACTATGGTAGCTTTCAGCTGGTTTTTATGACCAACCTGAGAGTGCATTTTAGGTGGTTAATGGAAACATTTCCTAGTTTGTCAATCAGAACCAGAGCCCTGCTCACTCAGCTTTGGAATTTAAATTTCCTCCGCTTAAAGTCCTGCAGTGGTTTGAGACTTGGGAAAATTGTTCTGTGCCAAATTTCCACTCCACCAGACAAAATAAAACTGTGTTGGCAATTGAGATGCAGTTGTCTGGCAAGCAGGCTTTATTTCAAGGCACCAGTCCTGACCTCACTAGATTTAAAGACCAGCCAGAACAACAGAATATGTACCTCAGTGCCACAGGAAAGGTGGAGTTGTGCACACTAAGATTATATTTCATTACTTTCTCTTTTTTTTCTGCAGTATATACTATTCATTTTAGAGAGCCTCAGAAAAAATGAAGTTGAAGGGCTTTCTTAGACATGGTGCTGAGTATTCAAAATATGATGGAAGTGAGAGGAAGCAATGAATACACATTGCTTCTGAAAATGAAATTCAAAATGAGACTTTTTTAGGATAGTGGATTTCCAGCTGACATAAAGTCCCACAGTTTTAAGCATGTGCCATCATTAAGAAATGTGACATGGGGATAAAACCAGGAGCTCCAGTAGGTGGTGGAAGCTGAGGAGCCTTCAGGGTGATCTAACTCGGGGTGAAAGAAGTCGATTCTGAGAACTAGTGAGCTGTAACTGGCTCTCTGACAGACATTTTTCTTGCCAGGTGGAAGCAGTTCAGCAGACAATCCAAGCCCGGGAACTTCTTCCTGAAGAGAGCTAAAGTTGTCTGATGTTAGAAATAGAGCAACTGAGGGTGTTTCCTTTTTAAACTAGATTTGTAGGTCAGCATGCCAGCATTACTTCTGAATCAGACTAGATCAAAGTGGAGTGGAGGACCTCTGCTAGAAAATATTCTCTTTTTCCATCACATGCATGTTTCAAAGCACAGCATGCCATTTGCTGACATTTGCATGTCATTTCCTAAATGCAGAAATATCCAGAAAAGGTTTTTCAAAGGATGACTGCAGACTGAAGTAGACCTCGGTATGAGCCTTATCCCAGGGGAGCCAGTGGTCATTGCCTTGGCATCCTTCTGTGGAAAGCCCTTCTGAGAACTTCCAGCATCTGCATAAATGAGGTCAGAGCTCAGAACATCCCAGTTCCACTGTCCAGAGTGTTGCTTCACACACTCCGTGGCTGAGAAAGAAGGAGGGGGGACAGCTGGCTATCTTGCACACAGTTTGTGGAATGAATGCCAGAGAAGGTGTGCAGTGCGGTATATCAATGTATGCAACTGTTGATTCATTATTTAGTTGCCCATATTTAGGATGAGGAGAACCATATTTCATGGTTACATCAGAAACAACAGAAAGGTAGGGAATTACAATTTGGGCTGCAGCATCAAGAATAACTGGGTAGATGAGCATGCATTTCTACCTTCCTTTTTCTACCATTCCTTGAATGGCTTGAGTTATCTTTGCTTTTTGTTGCCCCCTCTCCCTTGTTATTCTCCCTGGTATCTACCTGCTTTAAGGCATGTTGTTTGCATTTTAGACTCAAAGTTTGGTTTTCTCCACTGCTAGGATCCCTGCAGGTGCACCTAGCTAAGTCTATTTACCAAATGCAGCTGCATGTTTGGCCCTGTGTGTTGAAATGATAACTGTGTGTTTGTTGCTGGACATGCCTTCTTGGGATAGTATAGCCAGCTGGTCTGTATTCCAGGTTCTGAAAGCAAAACAGCTTTTTTCTTTATAATTGTATCTATCAGGAACAATGTGTTGGTTTTTTTTTTTAGTAACATTATTCATACATAAATTCTTTGTTGAAATGCTTGTGATTACCTCTGTCTCATTTGATTCACTTTGTTCCCAGAACTTGGTAGGCAGGGATGGAAGTATTTGAGAAAGACTCATCTGCAGAGATACTTTCTGAAAACAGATGGTCTCTAGCTGATGTCTTGCAGCTGAGAAAGGGCTATTTTGAATATTTAGAAATGGCTCCTCTTCAAGACCTGTGAGCTAATGGGCCCAATACATTTGTTAGATACCTTAAAACTGACAGTCACAGATAAAATTCACAGCTGAGTAAGACTCTCTTTATGTTCTAATACCTGTTTTTCAGTCTTTTATTTACTTTATGCCTCTCATGAAATTTATTTAAAGACAAAGGATGTACTGTCAGCAGTGCATTTCAGCTGTTGAAAATCTACTTATCATGCCAGTCTGCTTATTAAATCAACAGAGAAATATTCTTTTATTTAATGCAGTCCTTAGAGATGTTGTTTCATGTATACAATTGCAGTTACAAAGAGCAGAAGCTGTGTGGGTGTCTCCTTGCACACATCACTGAAGCCTGTAAATTGTAATAAATCCTGAGGCTTACTCAAACAACTTTTAAAATACCAGCACGCAGTTTGTCAGTCTTTCCATCATATTTTGGAGCAAGGTTGCAGAAAGCTGTGATTACAACCCAGAATAAGTATATAAGTATATAATGAAAATGGAGTATTGTATTCAGTAGTTCCGCCCATCTACTCTGCTCTCATGGGTGATGGGGTCAGAGAGTTACAACCAACTTCAATTCAACTTTCCTGTTTTGTGGAAAGCATTAAAGGGCATTAAAACCTACACGCCTACAGAATATTTACCTCTGTGTCACTCTTTCAGCTTTACTAATGTAGTAAGATACATACATGTCAATATATCTGTGTGTCTGGATGGATGGATGGATGGATATATGCATGTGTACATGTGCCTACACACACACAGATAGTCAGGGCAAATCAATGTTTGTTTCATTTCTCTATAATAGAGATGAAAACAGTTTTATTTGCAGTTTTATTTTCATCCTCCAGCCCCCTGATTCATCATCTCTTAATTTCTTTTTCCACTCTTTTTTTCACTCTGTTTATTTTTCAGCTTTCACTCCTGTCTCTTTTCTTTTGGGCTACAAGCAGGTGCAGGAGAAGTAATTCAACTGTTCTTGGAAAACATTTGGTATAGGAGGGAGGAATTGTCTGTGCAGCATGGGTGCCTGCGTGTGAGATCTAAGTATGTATGTTGCCGTTTGCTGTTCAGTGCCTTAAGGGGAGAATTTCTGGAACATACAATTTATGCTCAGGCCATTTACATCTCATTCTTTGAGCCTGATCTTTTAGTCTTTCTGCTTCAAGACTCCTTATCTCCCATTCAACCTTTCTGCAGACCTTCTCTCAAACTGTGAAGCTCCTCCTGTGCTGGAGCCAGACTAGCACAGCCCTGATCTGCTCTCCAGCCACAGTGTTCTCAACATGCAACACTGCGTTGTTGTTATCTGGCTTCTTTCCTGTGGGACAAGGTTGTCCCTGAACAAGATGAATAATAAAAGCTGAAGTGCCTTCGGAGAATACAGCACTGTTAGTCAGCTTTGTGCGGTTAAACAAATGTTCAGGGGAGCCAAACGCAGACTAAACTTTGAAATGGCCTAGATCCCAGAGATTACAGCCTGCACCTCCTATAGAATGCAAAGCAGAAAATACCAAAAACTAACAAATTGGTAGTATAGATTACATTCCTTTTTCATATCTGGTATTAGTCAAAGCACAATCAGCTTTCTGTGCTTAACTTGTTGAAAACAGAAAAGAGATAACAAGTGTAAGCTGGGTAATGCCTTCATATTCAGTATATCTGTACTTATGACCTAAAACAAGATTTTGATATAAGACATGTAAGAAAATAATTGCTTTGTTATTTCTGTTGCCAGGAGCTGACAGGGAGAGCCTCTGAAGTTGTATGTTTGCACATATCCATTCCTATATTTAAAAGTTTAGTTTTTCTCTCAGAAGATTAAAAAAGGCAACAAAACTTCCAAAAAATTGATACACTCATGCAGTGTGAGCAGCATCTTCCTTCTGTGAATTAAGAATCACCATTCTGTTGTGAATTTGTTTTCCCAAAACTGACTCTCAGCTGGTAGCAGCTCAAACTTGGGAAATATCATAGTTAAATAATATGCAGACATATGTCATTGGCATATTCTATAGTATTTGGCTTTTTCCTGAAGAAGTGCAAAGAGTCCTTCAGGCCAGAGAATCTTATTAACAATTATCTATATTACCTATTGAAATTAAGAGATCAGATTCATACCCACAATGCATATATAACACTGGAAAGGCTAGATGGTTGCTTTCAGATAAAGCTTTGTTTGGTCATTGATACAAAATCTTCTGGGAAGTCACAAATTCCTGTTTGGAGATGAAACAAAAGCTTTTGTTTCTGTTATCATCATGCAACTGAGGCTATTCAGAGTGAGCAGCATGTGCTTAGTTTGCTGGAACCAGCTGTAGTCATAACACGCTATAACCTTGTGCCATCAAAAAGTGTCCTTTTTGGTGCCACTTTATCCACCACTGCTCAAAATAATCCTGAGATTTCTCTGAAGTTTTTCCAATTCCTCTATAAGGCTCTCTCAATGACAGGTTCTTCCCATTATCAAGCACAGATCAGACTAATCCAGGCATCATATTTGTTATTGCGTATCTTATTAATGCTGATTTATGTCTGTGATTCATTCCTACAGTGCAGAAGCACTTGGGATGGAAATCTTGTTCCTTACCATCTATTCTGATTGCATTTGCCTAACCTTGACAAAATAATTAATATCAAATCCACAGATTGTTCTGAGGATCATGTTTATTTCTCTTCATATAAAAGGAAATACTGGCTGATATGAACTTTTGTCTATTACATATTCTTATCAGCACCATCCCTTGTACGAGCACTGGCATTGTACATTAGTTTGTATTTCAGCTTTATAGCCTTCTTTTGAAACTGATGCCTAAATTATTATGCCTCATTATTAATTATTAGTTTATCAAGGAAGATGTGTTTTTGTGAAGGATTTGGAGAAGTAAAATCAGAAAGATAATACTGCAACTTTGCATCTGTGGACTGAACAATAATAAGAACTTTCCTGTATGATTATTTTCCATTATTATAATTCAGTGCAGTCATTCACAGAACTATTTGCCCTTACAAATAAAAATCCTAGTCCTCACATACAGACTCAGAAAGTTCAGATGATATACAGACTAACTGCAGTGTAGCACAAAGGCATTTCATTCACCCTGGGTAATGGAGTAAAAATGTCCTTGTGGAATTGTCTGGGTACAGCATAACTCGATCTGCAGGTCAGAGTTACCAGTTACGGCTATATTCCTTACATAAATAATATACTGCTTACACTGAAGTGGGTAGACAAAACAGATTGAATGAGTACTCATGGATGAGTGCTCATTGCTTGTGTTCATACCACTTTACAGGTGGTGGATATCTTCATCTTTTGCTTGCAAAAAATCCATCCATGTGAAACATATTTATATTTCACACCCAATATCAGAATTGTGGTTTGTTTATTTGTCACAGACACAGAGACTTGTGATTATGGTTGGCACAAGTTCCAAGGACAGTGCTACAAATACTTTGCCCACCGACGTACCTGGGATACGGCTGAGAGAGAATGCCGCCTACAGGGGGCCCACTTGACAAGCATTTTATCCCATGAGGAACAAGTCTTTGTGAACCGTACGTACTGTTATCATCTCTCTAAACAAGTGCAGGATTCACAGCATATCCTCCTGTTTGTTCAGAGTTTGCATTTCCATGTTAAAATGCACTAAGAGTGTTTAAAAGATGCACTTCATTTTCAGTAAACTGGTGTTTACTTCTACCGTGTGATGTCCTTACCTCTACTAAGTTATGATTTGTTACGAAGAATATTTTCATTTTTTGAGGAAGTGAATGAGACACAGACTTTTGGCATTGAAAATAATGAAACTTTTTTTCTGGTGGCTTTACATTTCTTGTTCAAATAACATGAATGCCACCATATTGGATAGGCATAATGGTTCCTGTGTCCAAATGCTTCATAATCTGGACTTTGGTCACAGTCTACAACCTAAATAAAACTTTAAAAATGTAGACTTAAATACATGCTTTCTTTTGGTGTGGTTTCCTGATATGTGCTCTGATAGGAAACAAATCTGTTTTCTTTGGGCGATGTAGACAGGAGAGAAGAGGAAGATTGTTTAAAAATGTTAGATGAGAATCTGTTTTTTTAATAGATATCTCGAATTAAAATAAAAAAAGTTGTAAATAGTTGTTTGCATAGGTATTAGAAGAATCTTAAGAACAGGATGTCTGATTCATTCTGAGAAAATTCTTTTAATTTTCTTTGATGAAATCACTGCCATTTATGGGAAAGTTAATAAAAATATCCTGCTGGTTCTTTTCCCATTAGGTATTGGGCATGACTACCAGTGGATTGGCCTCAATGACAAGATGTTTGAGCGTGATTTCCGTTGGACTGATGGTAGCCCACTGGTAAGATGCCTTTAAAATGAAATCATTCACTCAGCTTTTTGTGGTAGAATATCAAGTTCCCACCAGAACTGAGAGAAGCTGCATGAAAACATTAAGTCACTGAATATGCACTCAAGCAAACAACCAGCACACCATCTTGTTTTGAGATAGTTCTATTTTGTGGTGTAGTTCTAAAATCTTATTTCTTCTTATTTTACATGCTGGATTCCCAGACATATAGCAATTCACCTCTCTTCCTTACATATACAGAGCAGAATGGTTTGGGGTTTTTTTGTTTTTTTTTGGGGGGGGAGGTGAGGGTATGGCATACAAACCCTTATATTGGCTGGATCTTTGAGAATGCATGAAGGAGCTTCTCAGGTTTTCTTGGAGGCTGTCCTAATCTGTGTGGCAGTTGTGCACCTAGGCTGGGGAAGCACCATCCTGAGATGGTTCAGGAGGCCTTTAATTGATTATCTGTCCATAAACTCTTAAGTTGCTGTTGATACGACTTGTTACCTTAAAACAAAAAGGAAAATCGGCAGAAAGAGAGGGAAAACACTTTCTGCTCACCTTTAGCTAACCTAGATCGAAGAGAGCTGCTCAGTACAGGAAATGGTGTAACTTTTTCCACCAGAACAGAAGGGATAGTTGTATTAATGCTGTTTAATACCCACTGAATAACATTATGTGTATATATATGTATATTTGTACATGTATATATGTTTATATGTATATATGTATGTGTATACACAGACACACACGTGTATATATAAAGAAGTGGTTTGATTTTTATTTCCTTTCCAGTTGTGAATTCTTCTTAAAGAAAGCATCTGGACTTCAGGTCACATGTGCACACAATTACACGTGTATTTTACTGCATTCTGTGTGTCTACGGCTTATGTAGACAGACACCTGGAACAGAGCAGGCTTCACTTATTGCCATTTCATGTACATAGCCAAAGGTTTAAAGTTCTCTAAAATGACTTACAAATTAGCCATTTCTTGGGGAATCTACCATGTGTGGGAGGTGAAAATATGGGGAAAAAAGAAGGAAGATCATAAGTTTTCTTGTGCACTTGGTTGCTTGGTGACTCTTTGGTCAAACCGATGTGCCCGTTTGTGCTTGGAGCCACATAACTTTTCAGGATGTGAGTGGAGGAGCTTCTTTTCAACACTTTCTCTTACCTCTCCTCACGTATTTTTGGGAGCAAAGGATGGACCATAGCCTCAAACTTCATTCATGCTAGATGAGTTAATTCTGTGTCTCTTAATGTGGCCACTCATACCTTGCTAACAGCAACAGGCATCCACTGAGGATGGTTTAACTTTGATATTACTATTTTCTATTGCTAGTGATTTGTTACTTCCCTATTAATTAACAGAAATAATGACATAATCAACAGTATTCATTAAATGTAATTCCCTGATGTTCACCTAAAATTCCAATGAATTTCAATACTATAGTTAAAAAATCTACATCATTTATGTATTTGCAGCTGAAAAGCAGTCATGATAGTATTAATTTACTGTCTTAAAAATAAGCATTATTTCTTAAAAACTCATATTCTATTATGAATTTCTGAGTAGAGGTTGTTGCATATATTAAAACTTTTATATGTCAGAGTGCATCTGTAATTTGGCTGTTTTTATTTATGTAGCCCAGCTCCTCTGCAAGAGAATATTTTCTATCCAGAATTCTATTCAAGACTTCTAACTTAGTACAGAATTCGCCGAATTTGCTGGGTATTCCCCTGACATAAAAGAGTTTCCCTACTATCAAAATCACAAAAATAACATGAACTCCTAGATAGTGCGTATAAAAGCAGTTCGCATTCATCTTTATTTTGATACTTGTTTGTATACTAGATAATAGCTTAGCTTAATTTGAAAATCGTGCTTACATGATTTCTAAGTTTTTGAGTTAAAAAAAAAAGTTGTGATATTTAGTAGATTAAAAAAAAAAAGAGTAAATAAATAACACTACCAACAGCAAGACACATTATAGATTAACTTATTGGCCCACTGCTGCAACTGACCTAGTTCTGCCCAGATTAAATAGCTGTGATAAGTGTTTATACAAAAAATTATGATTTGTCTTTCATTTGAGTTTTCTTTCTGAGCCAAATTAGAGGAGACATACCTCCACTTACAACTGGAACTGAGAATCACTGAATGACAGACTTTACCATTGGACAGTATGAAATAAGGCTTGGATTATTTTGTTACACTTCTTCTGTGGACATAAGGAACCCACAACTCAAATATTCATTATGTTGAAAGGAAGTTTTACCAGGTGTTTGCATACTGTTCATTAACAATGTCTGGAAAAAGGATCAAATGCTTTTTTAACATTTGCACCTAGAGAATATTTCAACCAATGAATTCAGTTGAAGGACATCAGTCATTTTTTTAATGTTTTCAGCTCAAAACCATGCCATGTGTTTTTCCAGAATTTTTAAACTGAAACTAAATGCCAGCCACTTTTATTTATGATCATCGGACAAAAGCACATATATGAATTCCTTATTGAAAACCAGCAAATGTATATCCAAATGCACTGTGCATCATTTCCATCTATAGTGCACTCCTGAATACACACATATACCTTAGCTACTTTTTGTGGGCTTCATAGTCATATCCAGCATTGGCTTTAAATCTTGTGCTACTTTAACTCCACGAGCTCCCAAAATACCGTTTTTTTTTTGTTGTTTTGTTTTTTTCCTGCATAGCCTATCTCATACAATCATATGAGATAAGTGTTGAAATGCTGCAGCTATAGGACTAGAGAATGATGAGTTTTTCTTTATCATTAGTCTAGTAATGTGAGAAGGCTTAGATTCTCTGATGTGGTTGTGGAAATTTCCCCTCCCTAATGAATCAATGGATAACAGTTTTGCCGATCAACTAAGAAAGGGCCTTTAAGTTTTCTATGAGATCAGTTCATGCCACTTCAGTCAGATGGGAGATTTGTTTTATATTCCAGGGAGAATAAGACCAAGGCTTTTAAAGGATGAACATATATAATTAAGCTTCTTACTGGGAAAACATAACTGAAGCTAGGGTAGCAGAACAGGTTCATGGTCATTGAAAACAGGGGCAATTATTTAGGTATCTAATAATCAACTAACTATTGTCAGACACTTTCAGTATCTTAGCATTCTTGTAATTCCCTATAGAAAGTGTTGACAGTCAACAGTTCGTCAAAAACAGTAGCAGTCCATAAAGCCCACCTATTCCTACACTTATTTTTCATGCGTTAACTGGAATTTATATCTAACTTGCAAAAATAATACCAGTAAGCATATTTTGGAATAAATGAAGAGCAATCCTGTAAAAGCACTGTCTGATTCTCAGAGTTACTCAGGACACAAAGATGTTACTGTTTTCAGTAATGAAGCATGTCCAATCAAATTCAATGAGAAAGCAAGTAGTAGTGTTTATAACATCAGAAACATTAAAACTGTTTTTCAGTCCACAGGACATTTTTCAATGTCTATGTTGCTGAATATATTTGTTTGACTGTACTGACATTACACACTGAAAACATCACGATGTTTTCTTTAAGGAGGACTGTTAAGACAAGGAACATTTTCTTAACAAAATAGAAACATACATAGTCATAATTCATTGTATTGTGAGGCTCTGTTTCTGCAAAGACTTTGATGTACCTCACTGAATCATTTGGTACATATTTATGTATGTGCTTTTAGTGAATTTTGGCAGGTTTTAGGTCTTAGTTGGAAGGTAGCTTATAATGTTAAACTGCTCAGCAGTTTTATTTCTTTTAGGCAAAATAGCACAGTGTTACGCACTGATTTAGTTGTCTAAATAAAATCTTACTATTTCCTTGTAAAAACACCTGTTAACATGCTGTTCCCACTACATCTGAAACACATGCTGGGCTTGAAAACTGCAAAATAACATGAATAATGTAGCTAGGTAATATGTTTTATACCCTATAGTTCAGTTGGTAGTCTAGACTTTACTTTCCTATAAACAGATTACTTTCTAGGTAACTGATATTACATTATATGGGATTTTATTAGCCAGGCCATATTTTATTTGTATTTGTCTATTTTTTTTTATAACTCTTCTATTAGACAGATTGTAAGCTACTTAAATGACGTCACTTAGTCATCTAAGTATAGATCTATAGTGCACATCATCAAAGGAGTTTCTGGGCTAAGCTGAGGGTATCCTGCTCAAAATGTAAACCAAAATGAACTGTGATTTCAGTAAACTGTGGAAGCTATTGCTTAGTTGTTGTAGTTGTTAATTTGTTATAATAGTTGCACTATATCAGTATGGCAGTAAGCAATCTTTTATCATCTTCAATATGTTCTTGATCCATTTCTCATGGAAAGAAAGAATTTTCCAACTTTTCCAGTGGCTGAGAAAGGTGGATTTGTGTTCTGAAGCTGACTGCTACATGAAAAGCACTTTAGCACTCTTTCCTCTGTTTCAGTGTTCCCAAGGTGGTGATTGCCACTGTGAGTGCAACACAAACACAAAATGTTAATGTTCTTTCAGGAAACCAAAAGCTAGGCTTGTGGTGCAAGTTCAGCTTTCACCACAATGATTGCAGAAAGTTAGTGGCCATGGCTGCAGATCTGGAACATTGGTAGCACATAAGATAACCTGGGCCACTAAGAAGGAAAACTGGGCCTACCTAGACCTGCCTGCCTAGATCCCAGCATCCAAACATCTAACCTTAAAGGTGATGGCACTGAGGCGAACTCAGAGCACTTACAGTATCCCACTATTCCTAAGGCTTTATTATTCATTTCTTCCTCAAAATCCAGCAAATTTCTGCTCAGGACATTTCAGATATGATTGCATTGACAGGTGGAAGAGGCAGAAGGAAATAATAGAATGTTACAGAGCATACAGTGTTGTTTGCTCTGCTTTCTCTTTCACAGTGTGCTTATGTGCTCTTGGTATTTGATGTTGAAAAGCCTTAGTCTTACTCCAATTCATAGTTTACAAGGGAATCAAAATACACATATAAGAGTTTATTT